TGCTGACTCAGAGACTTCCCACACTGGGTTCAACACTCCTGCCACCTTCTCTGGGCAGATTCCAGCTCTCCAACAACGCGCCCCTTCCCCAGCTCACCCCCAGACACACCGCATGGGGAGCGGAGAGGCCATCCCCAGTTCACAACTGGCCACAGGAGGAAGGACACGCCAAATGAACCAACAAAGCAAACACAAAACTGTGCAAGAAACTACTTTCATAAAAGGACCCAGAGAAAGGACACACCAATCTCTGGATACCTATAAACTCTAACCTAGGACAATCACATGCAGCTAATCAAGTTATCTGAGCGAAGTAATTAACTGTTCTACTTCAGAAAAATGCACAATTCAGTATGATAGCAAAGGACACAATACACAATTGGCCCATTATCTATCAGAAATTACCAAAAAAAAGGAAATACCTTTGCCATTTACAACATGATCTGAAGGCTGCTCGTTCTTTACTGTGCTTTTATCTTCCGCCTCTGGAACAGTCTTAGATATTGCCTGGTCATCATTATTGGGACTTACTTCAGTGTCTTTACTGGACTGAATTTTTTGTGTGGCCTGTTAAAACAGATTCATAAGGAGCCATTCATTCATAGTAAACACATCCCCGAAAATTACAAAACAAACACCCTCCAATTCAAGATTACTTTGGGTAAGCAAAATCACATTTATGAATTAGGTGATCACCGAAGCAAACAACCACAGAAGTCCTCTATATACAAACCTGAATCCTGAGGGTAGGAGATGAGAGCATGGACACGTAACTGAACAGAAAACGTAAGATACAGCACGGCTGTGACATTTATATTGGCATATATAGCTCTTCAGCATAACGCAAACAGGTTAAGACACCATTGGCCTTAAGCCTCAGGTCAGAGACTTTGAAACAATTCTAGATCTTAAGAAGAGATCTGACTGAAATCTACTTTAAGTCTGCCATATTATTTGAAAAGTTTGTCAACAGAGACAAAGTAAGGAAATGAGATTTTAAGAAAAGCAGGTTATGTCATCTGTTTGTAAGAAAGAGGCCCATATTCTACTGGCAGTTTGCACCATATAATTACACCCTTGATACCATTCAAATACCATTGTTATTTGCATCACATTAGCACCTTGAGGCCTCAACAGAGATCAGGTTCCCCTTTGCAATAACCTATATAAGGTTCTAAGAACATAAATCCTACCCTGAAGAGCTGTAAAGTAATATCCATTTTACAGAGAAGAAACTGAAATCCTTAGCAATGACATCATGTAGGAAAGCTGCAGCAGAGCAAAGAATTAAGCCTGATTTGCAAGGCTCAGTTCACTGACTGAGCAAAACAGGCAGATGTTCTTACAGTAATGCTCGTGTGGGGCTGCTCAGGACGATACTGAACAAAAAGTTAGGGGACAAATGTCCAAGGCCTCCATATAGCTGAAATGCCGAGTCAAACAAACAGCAGACTTCGGGCTCTTCTAATTCAACACAGAAACTTAGCTGCGCATTACCTTTTGTTCCCGCACAACCTGGTCCATTAATTTCTTTATGTTTTCTTCATGTTGCAGTCTCATTTCCTTGATCTGCTGCCCACACTGCAGACTTGATTAGAAACACATTATTAGTTATATTTCTTTTGTTGTATCTGCTCTCCCATAAATAAAATAGGGGGAAAAATATGAAGTGGCACAAAAAGCCAAACCTGAGATATAACAAGAACAGTCTGTCCAAAAAACCTTGTCCTGGAATGTGTATGGAGTGGAAATGGACTGAATAGAGAAAGAAAGCAGAACTGGGAAAAATAGGGACAGAGCAGAAAAAGAGTAAAATAAACAGAACAGCCTTGAACATATTTCCTCCAAAACCTGGAAAGCAACTGAAAAGTCAAGCTTCACAGTCAATCTGTCAGCATATATTAATTCCACTAGGAAAGCAATGTATCTCCCATGGCTGTCAACAGAAGATGCACAACTACTGCTATCAGTTACTGCTACCAACTCAAATAACAAGATCTGAATGACACAGCCAAGCGTCCCAACTTCTCTAACAAGCCACAGAGACATCAACCCATCCTGTCTCCCACAAACCCGCAAATATTCCACATACCACATAAAGAATACTTTTTTGTGTGTGAAAGTTTCAAACATTTTCTCAAGTGTTAATGTCCCTCATTCCTCAAAGCTTCAGAAGTAGCTGTTCTCCCTGCTTCTCCATCATAAACTGAAAAGGCTTAAAATCTCCATCTACCCAATGCTTTCAACTTCAGTTGAAAAAAAGAAAATGACACTTTTAGAAAGACAGCAATTAACAACCCTGGCGGCTTACAGAACTGTGCCAGTTAAACTCTTCCAAGTATTCGTTAACTAAGATTTTCATGTTATAAAAAAATGCATTGACTTAAAATCGCCCAACGCTGAACAATTCCAGTAAGTCAGATTTTTCTTAGATTGTATCTCACTTTGGGGGGAGGAGCAGAACAACACAAAAAATAGAACTTTAAAATCAAACAACTAGCTAAGTCAAAGTTACATCACCAAGTGAGTACACTCAAGTTTGAGGATTAGCAGAAATAGGATTAATTTGCACTTTTCAATAAATACAGATGTCCATTACCCACACACAAACCTACAATTACTGACATTCTTGAAGACATACCTATCGTATTCCAATCTCCTTGTAAGGTAAGTATTGTTCTTCTTGTACTCGTGAAGCTGATCTTCCTGGCGAATGAATTCCTGACGTAATTCTGCTAATTGTTCTAGACCAAAAAGCAAAAATCAACACGAATACAGGAATATAAGAAAAAATGCCCCATGGCAGATACAACTTTCAATATTGCTGTGTAAGTTAAAAATTTGCTCAAGTTTTTTTTTCTTCTAGATGTACTTTAAAGATTCTTAAACTAACTTGAAAAAGATGCCAATTTGCTCACATATGCCAGATATCAGTATGAATTATAGAACAGTTCTTCTGATACTGTGCCAAAACCTCTAAATTTTTCTTTACCTTTTCATTCAGAAGATTTAAACAATGCTATTTCACCTATCTGTTGGAAATCTCCTTAATTTCCTGAAAGATGCTGTTATTCTGAGTAACACAAAAGTACTACCAGGTTACTTTAGGCACAATGGTCAAATATTCTTTTTCTGCACTAAGCATACAAAAGAAGATACCTTCACACTATCCACAAAAACAATACATATTTCCTGTCTTCACAGTTGTTCTAGAAATTATTCTCCCTGCTCCTCAGGCTACAAATAATTGTTAAGCTTCCTACTGTTTTAAGTTGCAACTACGCAGATGCAGGCAGAAAGGCCATGTATGTTGTCTGCAGGCACGTTCAAATTTTGGCACTAGCTGTTCCAGGTCACTCTGAGACCCATACAGGGAGGTTACAGGCATTGTCATTGTGTGTCTGTACATAACAGCCTCAAAACACGTTTTCTGGACCTTTTCTAACACAGCATAAACATCACAACGTTGCTGATCCAAACTATACTAAACTGTGTATTTGGTCATGAAAGCGATTCTAGGATCTTGGAAGTAAGCAGTGCCAGAACACACCTTCTTTCTGCAGACAGTAAAGTCTATGAGAGCCAACCCTACACTTACTCGGACTAGGTAATAAACAAATATAATGAAAGTTCACATTATGCGATGTTCCAGCATCACCTGATCTTTCATTTAAAATGTATTCTGCAGTACCTAGGCAGTTAAAAAAATACGCAACTTCACCGTCTGCCAAATCATCATTTGGCCATAAATTCCTTACCCTTTAAACGATGTATGTCTGCCATTTGGTAGGATACGTTGTTCTGCAGCTTCATCTGAAAAGAAGAAATAGTTATTTATATAAATATAGACAGCCAGCAGGGTAGAGAGGGTGTAGACTGCGAAGACTCAGGTGCGTTTGTTTCCACTGTAAAGACAATGTATGTTATCTGAATGACGCATGCAAAGTTCTTGTAAATATAAGTACTGTATGTCTAGTTATCCGTAAGTGATGTCACCAACCTAAACACTGTATTTAGGCTTTGCAAACATGGACTTAAATTTATTTCCAGAACATATTTCTATCAAAAAAGTAGATTCTGTCGGGACTAAAATAAACACACTGCATTCTGATACTGCAGAAGGAGACGGTGAATTTCCAATGCCAAAGCCTAAGTGTATAAAAATAAACACGCAGAACGATTAGCAAAACCAATTTTTACCTAATGTTTATTTAAAGTAAATTTTTTATGCGATGCTACCTGATATTCATAACACACATTTTATTTTTAAGAGACAATCTGACACCAGTAGACTTCCACAACAGCTTTTCATTTGGTAGTTTCAGTAAGGAAAAAATAGCAGTTACAGTAAATAAGAAATGCATGTACACAAAGTCATTAAGTAAAGATGCCTTGACTTGTTCTTACATAAAGACATATGTAAAGACAAAAAAGAGCAGAAACAAAGAGAAAGATGCACATGTAGAACATACTGAGAAAGGGTGAAAAAAATCCACGGCCGTCATCAGGCAACACCCATGCTGTAATTATTTTTCTTGTCATTTCAGGCCTGATATAAATGGTAACTCTAGAAAGGGTGCTGCAACAGGGCTGTCATTCTTGGCTCACAAGGTCAGAATGACCCCGCGGACCCCCAAAGCACGTACAGGCACACCTCCTGTGGCGCGGGACACCCACACCCAGGCTGTTTCCACTCCCACGCCGATTCTGGAGCCCCACGCCTGACTCAGTTACCTACACTTCCTGGCAAAACAAACCAAAACCCATATGCCCTCACTTTTAGACTTCCTCCACCCACCTCTGCCTTCCCTTTTATCAAATTATTCCCTTCTTTAACAAAAATGTTTCACGTAGTGTTTTTGTTTTCAAAAGAGGCACTCAAAACTCTGGCCTGTCTGATTCCATCTGTCCCATACGCATCGAGGCAGGCGTTTATAACTTTAGGAACTACGGCCACGCAAGAACTGCTGAAATCGTGATTTTCTGCAGAACACACTGTACGCGGAGGCACGCGTCCAACGGCTCCAGTCACAGACCGGAGGCTCCTTATGAAGCAGAGCGCTCCATCGAGAGTTTGGTTTGTGCCAGACGGCAGCATCCCGGCCCACCCCCAGCAGGGATGCAGGCAGGGGCCGCGCTGGCCGCAAACCCCAGCCCAGCACAAAAGCCACGAGAGTTTCTGGAGCGCAGAGGGGCACCATCACCATGTCTCTGACATACGGGGGAACGCCCAGCCACTTCACAAGGGTTTTCCCCAAAAAAAAGCAAGGATGGCAGATGATGCAATCTTTTGGTAACCAGAGAACCCCGACCATATTGCTCTGAAATAGGATACAAAATAAAAACACCCAACAGGGACACTTAAGGAGCCTTCTGGGCATGTTAGAGAGCCACACATCGACACATGTGCTCTGCCCACCAAGAGGTTCAAGGCACTCTCCTTACAGGCTGCACAAAGAACAATGCTCAATTAAATGAAAGCCTGTGCTGGGCTTCCTGGGCTTTATGTCAAAAGCTCAAGGGACCCCCATGCTGGGGGCTTCACACAGAAGCACAATGCAAAAGCAACCGCCAAGCTTTTCTGTTCCAACAGGCATCCATCTTGCCAGCTCTCCATCGAACCGACACCAGGACAGGGGAACAGATACCAAAAAAAGCGATTTATCAAGCATTAATGAAAAACTACCTTCCCCTATTTTACAAAGGCGCTGGCAATAACGACCAAATTTTTTCCTGTCTTCCACTCTAACGCAGTTCTTTCTCAGAACCCAATAAATCTCCAAACAAAGGAGATCCTGGGAAGTAGCGGGTTGTGCTTTCAAACCTTCATCTAGCAGAATTCATAATACATCAAGCCTTCCTACTGGCTTGCTTCTGCTCATCCCATAAAACATGTCATATGTTTTGGAAGGAGCTGGGGGAGGGCTGCCTGTCTGTTAACAGGAGTTTGATTTGAAGATAGCACCAGTTTTATCACACAATCTTTCATTTTGGCAATTTTGAGTTTCAGAGAAAAGCGACAGAATTTATATCCAAAACAGCTCAGCTGACAGCAAATGTCCCTCATCTGAAGGATAGAAAGGGAAGAAGCTTTTTTATGATTCATGGGATCTGTTCCACCTACACATGCAAAAAAACCCACCCTTCACAAACCATGGCACGAGTCCAGTTCCTTCCCAGCCGTGTCCTCCTTAAGTCTAGACCTATTTGCACTGTTCATGTTTCTCAGTGGCTTCTCAGATCCTTTCCAAAGCAGTTGGGATGTATAAAAGAAATTCTCTGTAGCCCAGCGAGCTCTGCGCAGGACAAAAACATCAAAAAGCCTGCGCATGCTAGAGCTATGTACATGCAAGGCAACCCTTTCAGCGCTGTCTGAATTGTAACAGACTCGTCATAGAATGAAAGGCAATGCAAGAAAACAAAGTTATAAGCACGCTGGAGCTTATCTCTGTGTATGGCAGGACAGAACACAGGTGGTAAGTGGTCAACTGTAAACATCCACCCATATTTCCCTGTGAGTCACTTCTTTATCTTGCAAGAACACCCTCGGCATTGCCTGCGGAAGCAGCACAAGCTGGTGTCCATGCTCCTCGGTGCAGCTTCACGAGCCAGGGCACGTGCTGGAAGGGCACAGGAAAGCTCTTTCGAAGTCTGTTTGCCACAATTCCACGATCCTTCCGCTGCTGTCAACTGCCTTTTGCAGAACAGACAGTGCTATCATCACACGATTAGTACAGCGTCGGAGATGACCTCGTGACCACGAGGGACGTGCGGTAAGATTGGAAGATGCACTCAACATCACCGCTGTAAAGCTACAGCTTTGCAAACTGAGGAGCTTTCAAGGAGTTTTGGCAACAAAGAACATAACCAGCTGCTCCCAAGGATGCTTTACTAAACAGTTTCATCCTATGAAGCACATTTCTAGGCACCAGCTAAGGGCCAAGGCTGTATTACACACCTGGCATTGCCAGCCATAGCTTTGGCATGAGAAAGGCACGCTCTGGCGAGCTGCAATAGCAAATACAGAGCTACGAACCCCTACACACTGGATGGTTGCCATTTGGAAGCTCTCCACCACCAATTCCCCCCATTCAATCATTGAGCTTATTGCAAAGGGATGCGTAAAGCTAAGAAAAATAAAGTATCCTTACAGTATGCCACAAAAAAGGATGAAACACTGAGGAAACTAATGCTAACTCTGCAGGCACCACCTCCCCAAACACGGGGGCAATCCCTATCCCCATTTGCCTCCCAAGGAGAGCTCCGCAAGAGCAGAACTCCTCTGGTTTGTTCCAAGGTCCAGCAGACCATCACGAGCTTATCAATGTGAGCCCAGAGTGACAGGAGAAGAGAATTCCCAAGAACTCATGCCTTTTTTTTTTTTTTAACCACAAGACACTAGGTCACACCACTGCATTTGCTCATGAGAGCAAACAATATTCTGATGCAGTGTGACGGGCTTGTTACGCACGCAGGGGGAGAGAGCAGAGAGACAAGGGGTTGGGCTCGACTACAGATATCACTGAGCTAGGAGGAAGCTGCCTGCAGAAATTCAAGTTGCCTCCACACTGGGAAACGCACATTTGATTTACATGACCACAGGGCAAAGAATCTCTCATGAAGACAAAGGAGCATAAAGCAGAATTGACACTATGATAACCACCAGAGTAGCACCTTTCAAATGAGTTTTCTATGAAATAAGCCTAGCTCTGTTGTGATTACTCGATACCCTGCGAATTACCAGTGTTTGTGTTTTATTATAGCTCCTGCATTTCACAAATGGACTAAGATCATTGGTAAAAACCAGTTTGTTCAAAGAACATCCCTGCCAAATTCTATTTTGAGAGAAAAAAAATTATCATTCAAGCCTTTTTTGGTCACACACTTTATGCCTACTACTTTTTTTTGTAACATCTTTATTCTCTAAAACAGAGCTTTATTCTGTGCTCTCTAAAGTACAGTCACTTAAAGGTTTGGGGTTTTTTTAGAAAAAAAATAGGATTGTTGCCACCGAGAACATGACAGTAGCTCACATGGGAAGAAAAGCAGCGGGGACAGTGACTGGTTACTGATAAAACATAACTGCTATTCTTGCCTATTACGGCCCATTGAACAGTTTGAACACAAGAAGAGCAGACATTCAAAAGCGACTAGCTCGCATGACCTTAGATGGCAGATTCTGGAACAAAGGAGGAAGACACAGGGCATAGACTGCAGTATGCATACAACTAACAGTAAAACTAATTTGTGAGGCTTACTGGTCACCTTTCTCTGGCTTCCCTCCCGCTCTGCCCTGTGAGATGCGAGGCGCTGAGAGCACTCAAAGACCAGCCAGATTTATGGAGAACAACAAAGTGGTCAGCAGGCAGGTACAGCTCAGCAGCACCTCAATTTCTATCCTGTGCATCGTAGCGAGCTCTGGCTTCCAGTAACCCTTGCAAGGCACCTGGACTTAGCACTTGCATTTTCTCTCCTGGTGTCCTACAGAAAAACATCACAGATTTCAAAAAAAACCCCAAACTTATTGTATTGAAAGCAAGCCTTGCCATGCAGCCCAATAATTGATAGCTTACTTGAATATCACCAGTGGAGTTTTACACCTGGCAGTCAGTGACAATAACGCACGAAACAAGGTCATTGCCCTATGAACACAGGCTAACAAACGGGAACACAAAATCAACTTCACGTACATAAAGAACAGCCATACCACAAACAGCCGCCAATATCACTTCCCCTGAATATCCTTAGCCACTTCTCCAGCAGTCTGCAGCTTGGAGGCAGTTTCAATGCATTCATCAACCTCCAGCAGGCTC